GGCCGACGCTTCGGTGACGGTGAACCCAAGGAGAGGGTCCTCCTGCCTTGGGGAGGCGGCGAGCCTAGCGCAGCCCTGTCCCGTCTGGACTTCTCAAAAAGGCGAACAAGCAGATGGTCTGCTGCTGCGGTCCCGTGCTTCCCGAGGGCTTTTAGGCCAGCATGTTTGATCTTGTGAGCCGCTAGTGAGCAAATGCGGTTGCGTTGTGCTAGGAACAACGCGTGAAGCTCTGCGGCTTGCAGGTGTCGATACAGATCTCAAATCCTCAAAATTGTGCTACCTGATGTTTGAGTAAATAATGCATGGGCCGATAGTTTGCACGTCTTGCCCTGTGTCTGTGGTGCTTTCTCAGGCAGTCGATTCCTTCCAACCCATGTTCATTTCCTTCTGTGATTCTTCTCTTCTCCCCACCATGTTTTTCTAGAGCTAAGAACTAAAAGTATTGAACAGCAGTTATGCAGTCATTTTAGTCTGTCAAATCTGTGTTCTCAAAATGAGTGCTGTTGCCAGAGTGACTGTTCTTACCGTCTTTTAAAGCACATAGTTATGTAAGTCTGTCCTTCCTCTGCAAAGGCCTGTCTTTCCCTTAATACCCACTGCTGGCCTTGCTAGTATTTGTGTGGTAAGGGCGCATCGGGAAAATGATCTGTTGGAAGACTAGCTACTCTGCGAGGGAGCTGAATCAGTCCTCTGAGCTGGATTTCCAAGTGGGCATAAAAATGCAAGTGTGAGCGCAAAGGAGGGAATGGTTACACAGGGCAATATAGGCCCTTGTAGGAGAAGCACGAAACTTTTCACGTGAACGTGATTAAATTGCTATCACCTCACGCCCTGGTTCGTGGACAGTTTAGGCTAATCTAAGTTAAGTGCTGTCACACTTCCACCCCTTGCCCCATACGAAGCCCTGTACCCTGGTTCTGGCACTTTTCTAACGGCACAGTGAGCCCAAGAAAAGAAGCTAATCAATAGAAACTAATGGGTGTTAACACAGAAGGTAAATCACGCTAATTCAAAATACTGCATCCAAATTGTCTTGAACTACTTTCACAGCTAATATGATATGTTATCTGTTTACTCTGTCTGCTTTACAGCCCAGTATTGTAATATAAGATCACACTGTATTTCCACTCCTTGGGACTTGGATTCTTTGTTTTTTGTATGACAGCAAGCTGAGCCAAATAATTAATATTTTCCAGTCACAAGAACTTAAAAAGTTCTAAATCACATAAACTGAAAAAGTGACATCCTCAAGGTAAACAATGGAGCTTCCATAAAATATCTCAAATTATGTATCCTGGATCAGTACATAGTTTTGAAAATCTGAATATCTGAAATAGCCTTTGGTTTTGCCATTGTTGAAATCTCATAATAACAAAATGTTTCTTCTTCATAACTTGATAGACTGTTAAGATGTTTTATGGTTAGTGCAAATGGAAATGATTTGATTACTACCATTTATCTTTTGAATGCTAACATAATTTTTATTGCAGCAATCCTTTCAGGTGAAAGCAAAAGTTTGAGAATGTTTTATGTCGTTATTCCAATGACTAGCGTAACAGTTTTGTTCTTTTTTCTTTTTTTTTTTTAAACTGCTGTTAGCCCAGCAAATTAATCTTGGAGCTTATAGAGTATGTTATTTTCATGCTCTGTGGTACAAAAGCCTTATTAGTCCAGCAACAAACAAAAACATTATTTCAAATACAAGAAGTCCTTAAGTTATATGACTGAAAAGGACAAAGCTGGGAGCTCTGTGTAGGTTCTGCTAGAAGTCAGTAAGACAGGATTTTCTCACTTCTCTGGCTATAGAGAAGAATTGGGTTTTTAACATATCTACCTGGAGGATGATAAAATCAAATTCCATTTAACCAAGATTTCTGAGATGTAAAAGTGACCTTAAATCACCCTATTTCAAATTTGTTAATCTGATAAACAGTGCTGTTTTCTTTCTTAGCATCAACCTTAAGATGAGTGGCTGCCGTGTCTTTGTTGGACACTTAAGCTCACGCGCTCGGGAGCGGGATGTGGAGAAATTCTTCAAAGGATATGGACGCATACGAGAAATCCATCTTAAAAATGGATTTGGATTTGTGGTAAGTAATACCTTATTTTCCTTTCTCTTGCTTGCAGGTACTAGCCTTGCTAGGCTGATGTCAAGGAAGGGAAGATGCTTAAGAGAGTAAGAGTTCCAATAGGAAATGGAAAATATTAATATATTTTTCAGACTGCTTTTCAGATGTTGGGATTACAGTTTTACCTGGTTTTGGCCAGATTGTGCTCAAAATCTTGGTAATATTCTGGCTCCGTTAAATGCATTGTCTGATCGTAGTCTTCCATGGATTTAAATTTTATCCCTTATTTCTGAAGACAATATAAATATCCTGTTAGTGGCATTACAAAACTTGACAAAGTCTTGACCTGAAGAAAAGTTTATACGGGGTCGCTCATGTTCCTCTCTCACTCCTTCTAGTCTGCTGGGTCATATCTCTAAATAATGGCCTGACATAAGAGCAAAGTACTTGGCTAAGACAACATGTGTAAGAGGTGCTTGCTGTTGGATTTAAGCAGCACAGCTTTTAACTCTTGTGCAGCTAAAGTTAGGCATATTCACTGTCAACATATGTTCACAGGGCGTATGTGTCTGTCAGACTATTAAATGAAATACACGGTTCATTGGATCTTAGTTTCCTACCACTGCTTTCTAGAGCTCTATGCTTCTAAACTGTTGTCCAAATTTTTACAGCTTTACAGGTCCCCAAATTGACTCAGGATCAACCTGTTTCTTAAGTATTATCTCCTGAGAACTGAGAATTAGCTGTTCTGCAGCAATGAGTTCCAACTGGAAAGGTCGATACTGCCCTCACACTATGGCAGGCTTATATACTATTCGTTCTGCCAAGATCAATCCCTTGGGAGAAGCTATGGGAAAAGAACAAAAAAACAGGCTTTGCCTACTTTAGTTTCATACGAGTGTTGCTTCTTGACTCCTACACGTGCCAGTTCCCGATTGCCCTGCAGTATGAGCTACTTCTTGTTGACTGCCGGTAGGTAAATACCTGCCTCTTAAAGTCTGGAGGTAAATGGCCGATCTAGACGTGAGCCTGAGTTTATTTAGTACGTCCTTCCAATTGCTGCTATTTCTCAATCGCCTTTCCCTGAGTGTTCCTTGTCTCTTCTTGGGCAGGGCTGTTGACTCATTCAGGAACAACTTCTGTTCAACTCCTGTACATGAGTCAGCCAACTATCCTTCCTCTCTTCTCCAGTTCCTAGGCAGAAGCATTTTCTTTTCAAAGCTCACTAATAAGCTTGAATAATCGCCCCATAACTCTGTCTAAACAATGTAATTGTTCTCATGTTGAAGAATTTTTTCCTTACATATGAAGAAAACTTTTCCCCCCTTTGCCTGTCATCCCGTCACCATGCACCCACATGACTCCCATCATCTCTGTAACTGTGTTTTAGGTATTGGAAGATTGTGGCTAGATTCCCTTTGAGCTGCCTTTTCTTCAGGCTGAACAAACACGGTGCTCTCGATGTTTCTTTGTTCTCCAACCTTCTGATCAGTTTTGGTGGCCCTCTGCTGGTCCCGCTCCATTTTTTCAATGTCTGTCTTGGGCTGGAGGGGCCAAAACTGGACACAGTGTTCCAGGTGTGGCCTAACAAATGCCAAGTAGGGTGGAATAATCACATCCCTTGGTCTGCTGGCTGTACTCTTACTGACACAGCCCAGGATGCGGTTTGCTTTCATTGCAGCAAGGCTACACTGGTGACTCACGCTTAGCTGACTCTCCACAAGGATTTCCGTGTCCTTTTCAGCAGAGCTACACTCTAGTGACTGAGACCCCAGCCTGTTCTGCTGCTTGGGATTATTCTATCCCAGGTGCTGGACTTCACATTTATCTTTTGTTAAAACTTGCAATTCTTATTGGCCTCGTATTTCAGCCTATCAAGGTCTCTCTGTGTGGTGGTTTTTCCTTCTGGTATATTTATTTCTCCTCCCACTTTGGTGTCAGCCACAAAATTGGTGAGGGTGCACTCAGTCCTGTCAATCCAGATCATTTATAAATACATTGAATAGTATTACCCTTTGTGGTACCTCAGTTGTGACGGGCTGTTAGTTCATCTTTGGTTTCGGTTATTTAAAATCTGTACTTATAAAACCTCTTACAAAACCAACTGATTCTGATTGAACATGGTTGTAGTGTTAAAAGCATGTTTCATTGTGCTTGATCGAAATCATTGCTTGATCTTTGAAACTGATTGAATTTACTTAAATTCTGTAGATTTCAGTGCAGAATGTTTAAAGCTAGTATGTAAATAGATAGACTTGCAGACATTCAGTTTGTTAGAAACTAGCTGAAATCGTGGGAGTTGTAGGTGCTAACTATTGATACTCTTAAATGCTGGGCCTAAATGAATTTTCTCAAGATAATCCTTGCATCATCATGCAAGGATGTGTGATGTTTCACTCGGTAGTGAAGCAGATTTCAGTGCAGAGGGGGGAAGATTGCTTAAGCCAGTATTGCTTCTGAAAAGCTGTTTATAGTTACGCAAATGCTTTCTTCAACATGAGAAGCTTCTTCTCTGTTGTTCATTGCTCTAAAGCTGCAGTTCCACATTGTTTTTTTTCTCTATCCACACTATTGGTTCAAGCAGCCACTACCCAGCTGCTTGTTCTCACTGGTTTCTTTCTTTCCTTTCTCCCCTTGCCTCACATGGTGTTAACACAGTTGTTCAGCCACATAGTGAACCTACCTGGGAAGCTGATCTAGTTGAAAAATAACACTGTCTTTCTCGCCCCACCTCCTGCACAAAGTGTGCTGGTTTTCATCTGGATAGGTTTCTTGACCTAGTTTCCTGCAGAGCTGGACAAACAGCTCTGCCAAGAACCAATGGGCTGGATAGTGGGCAGAGGCTACTTGGGCTGACTTAAAGCAGCATTGCTGCCAAAAGCAAAGCGACAGATTCCGTTGCAACAGTATATGGAATTGCAATTATAGCTGATCCAGACCCACAGGTGGCCAGTGCTGACGAGGGGCTTATGTTTCTTACTCTCCTTACACAGGCACCTTTTTGCCAGACTAGTGAGCTGAATTCACTCAGAAAAAAATAAGAAGGGCTTTTTTTCTGATTCCCTCTTTCTTTGCCAATTCGGTAAGAATGGAATCAGCCCCAGAACTCTTAAGAGAGTTTTGCAGCGCACAGCTCTCCTGTTTTTGGTTGCAGTTGATCAGCTCGTGCTGTTATATAGGATTTCCCTCTACATAGGGCTGTGTTTTAAACTGTGTTTCTTGAAGTAATACCCCTGCCTCTCTCCCAAAAAGTATTTTAGATATTTCTGTAATAAACCAGGTTATTTAATTAATTTATTTTATATAGGTCCTGCAAATAGTTATACTGAAACAACTGAGGGAGGCAAAAGGAGTTTGTGGGGTGGAGGGAGAAGAAGTGGTCATGAATGGGAACATCTTGGCTTTTCGGTCATAAAGGAGTAGGAATCCACTTCCTTGTTCAAAGTTCTGGCTGATACTTGCTGCAGAAATGTAAAATTTATAAAGAAAACGTGTTTTCTAGCATTTGAATATACTATGAGGGAAAATACTTTTTTATTCCTATTTTCTTTCTAGGAATTCGAAGACCACAGGGATGCTGATGATGCAATTTATGAATTAAATGGTAAAGAGTTGTGTGATGAAAGGTAAGCTTGATATCATAATTTCCCTTAAGAACAGCAAAAGTGCTTTGCATCCAAATACAGTGCATTAGCTTGTACTCTGACACCCGTTTCTTGTGGCTCTGTGATGGCATACACCTTCCATAACTTTATCTAAAGGGATAAAGTTCATTGGGATTCTGGCTACAGTCTTATATAAGGCAAAGATAGTTTGGGACTGGAGGAGGGGTGGTTTGGAGCAGGGCTGGCTATTTTCTCCACTTGCACTTATTTCTTCTTCAAAGCTAACTCAAGGTCTTGTCACTAGAAATATTAGTAAAAGTGAATTGAACTTAATCTGTTTGTTATTTATCTGTCTCTTGACTTCAGAAAATAAGTTGATAATAGCCTCCCATCATTTGGAGTGTTGCCCTTCAGTTTGCAACAATGTGGACTATAGTCATTGTATGTTACAACAATTTTTATTTTGATTGTGGAAGTTGGGTTTAGGTCATGAGGTTGTTATTATTTTGGTACTCTTTTCCCTCTGTGATTGTTTTTGGGCTCTGGTTGAGCAAATTTAATTGTTTCAATCTGAATTACAGACCCATGACAATTTTCATGAAAGTCTGAGGGAGATGAATGAGACAAGAGAATCCACTGTTCTGGCTCTTTAAGAAACGCCAGTGACTGTGTTATAAATCATTGCTTGCAAGGGCGAGATAATTCTTGTTCGTGCACATGTGCTTCCAGTTGCGAAAGATTTAAGTCAGTGTCAAATACTTAAAGTTTGTGTTTTATTTTTTGTTTGCTTGTTTTGTTTTGTTCCTATCATAAGGGTTACAATTGAGCATGCTCGAGCCCGAAGAGGAAGGGGCAGATTCCCACAACGGTTCAGTTATTACCAGTCACAGAGTGGATCTAGGTAGGTGGTCTGGACTCTGTTTCCTACAAACAGAAGAACTGTACTGAAATACTGTTTTCTTCTTGTGGTTGGAGTTAGGGATCCAGCTCTGTTTCCTTGTATAGCTTCACGAAAGAAGTTTTATGTTCTCAAACCTTGGAGGTCTATTACTATTATTCACTTCCTCTGGCTGAGGAGCATGTGGATTTTAAAGCAGTTTAACTGGCTCACAGAGGTTCACAAACCTGTTATGAAATGCTCCCTCTCCATGTTGTAGGCACTACATTGGTCTTGCTTCCTACTCTTATGTAAATGATGTGAAGGACTAATGCTGCAGTTGGATTGGCTGTTTTTAACACTAAATTAAGAAAAATGCCAGAGCTTCTCTACTGAGGCTTTTGTCATTAAACTGATCTTATAGGCTAAGTAGAATTATTGTAGAGCAATAGTTCAAGGTATTTACCATCTAACCAAGCTTTTACATTTCCAGTTGTATGGTTATCAAAACGCTTACTTCAGCACAGCATACAAAAGGAACTGTATTTGAGAAACAGTGCTAGGGCACAAGATACTAGCACGTGCAGAAGTGTTTAAATACCAATTGACTAAGTTTGCTGACCGAGCAGGTGCCTTGCTGAAGGAGAGCCTCTGTCCGACAATGGAATCTGAAAAACAGGACGTAGCTCGTATCTAGAATACCTGTAGTGGACATACAGTATTTGTGGAATTGTTCACTTTCAATGATTTGAGCCAGTGCTGAACCTTGCACCAACTTGCAGTGGAGTTTGTGAAAGTTCTGCAGATTTGCATATATTCCACCAAACAACTACACATTACATCTTTGTACTTTGTATCTACCTGTGTGAAGTAAATATGTATAGAATGATTTACTCTGTAGAAACATTTATAGCTGTGGCCTATGCAGAGTAGAGTTTGGAAGAAAGATGAAGACTTAACTGACATAAACCTCTGCATTTGTTTCAAAGTCAGAATTGCTGCCAGTTACGAACCAGTGTCTGGAACATCTAATTTGCATATGCAAGTATGCTAATTAGATTATTTTTTCTTCAGTGGCAGTAACCTTGATGCGGTATAATTGGTCCGAGGTCCAGGCTAAAAGTGGACTTTTAAAGTAGGAAGTGTGATTGAAGGTCGTGGGCATCTGACGTTGTAGTCATGTTCATGACGTCAGACTGCCGATGCCAGACAGGAAGAGACTGCGGTTTGCAATAATGGAAAAATGAGACTGAGCCTGCCAGTTTTGGGACTCTGGGACCTCTGTTTAAATGCCCGGAAGATCTGGATGTTCTGAAAAAAATTGGGACACTTTGAGGTATGCACTGAAATGAAATTGCCTATGCTTCAGTGTACAAATCAATACGCACAATTTAGGATTATGTTTCTATGGGAGGAGAAGATGAGAATAATTTTCTCTAAGGTCAGTGTTCTTGATTCTTGAATCTTTTTGTAGTAATACAAAGTAGTGCCATTGTTAGAATCCTTCCTGTTAGAGAAGGCTGGCATACCTTTCTCCATAGTTCTCAGATCCCTTTGGATTCAGAATGACTAGGATTGGGAACAGAAATGACCTGCAAGGGCAGTATTCTTTCCAGATGTCTTACTCTTCTTTTCTGTATGAACATTTTCAAGCCACATTTTCATTTTTGAGAGGGTCTTTAATTTTTGGTTAAGTGAAAAACATCGGCTTTCATTCAGGAACTGTAAACTGCCACAGCTAGTTCAGGGCAATCAGTTATCTAGCTCTCATTTTACTAAAATAAGAATATTTCTACCCACAACAATATCTAATATAGGTCATGGTGGCATTCATAAATATTAACAAATGATTTGGAATTTAGAAGCATGAACTAAGATGCTTTTAAATTGTGCCTTCTATCTCCCTGACATGAAGCGGAATTTATCCTACCAACTAAAAAAAAAATTTAAAAATTGCCCTTTACGCAAATATCCTCCAAAACCGTAAGTGTGAGCCAAGCCTGTCAAATACCAAAATTAAACTAATACTCTTTACATTATTTTCATTCTGCTAGGCACTTATTTCAGTGTATCTAGAAAAAATGGCAGCTATATTGACTGCCTTGGTATAAAGTTCTTCATCAAAATCCTTTTTAATCCCCTTGTAGCAGCTCTCTTCTTGTAGTGGACTCTTAAATATATTCTTGACTAGGGAGAATCAAATCTGCAGTCCAGCAACAAGGAAAATACTTAAATCTCTCAGCAAACTGTAGAAAACGTCAGAGTTCTTAAGTTCTGAATTCCTTACACTGGAGACTTTTTCCTTTTTTTTTTTTTTTTTTTTTTCTGACCTCTTCTAGCCGGTATGGACCTCCTGTTCGTACTGAACACAGGATCATAGTTGAAAACCTTTCATCCCGTATCAGCTGGCAGGTGAGTTAACATGTTACCTTCTTTTTTTACACCTTATTTTCCTACCCTGTAAATAGACTGCTCTCAGCCTAATTTCTTAATAAAGCCATCATAAATATTTAACCTGAATAAAAAAATAAGCAAAAAAGCTATAGTGATTGCTAAAAATTAGCATTCAAATACTTGAAGAAGTCATCTGTTTCACAGCTATGCAAATAGTTCTATAGCTAGATTTTATAGTTGGGAACAGATTCTTGCTTAGTTGTGCTTATGCTTACCAACTGATAAAACTTTTGAAGACTCTAGATTGTTTCTAAATTATTGAAGCATAGCATCCATTCAAACTATGTCATCCTTTTGTGTTGTTACACCTGAAAGTGCATGCATTTGTTTTGAGTGAAATTTATGGTCTTTTCTTATGTTTTGCAAAATATTTTTGTGACATGCATGATTGGGAAGTCTGGTAATAAATCATTAATAAAGGAAATCTTAAGAAAGCTACTGTGTAAAGTATGCTTACAGTAGATATTTTTTAAAAACCCAAAACTTTCAGTAATTGTCTTTTGAAGCTTTCTTACCATCGTTCTTTTTTTTTTTTTTTTTTTTTTTCCCCACCCCTTGCTAATGTTTTGCTAATTTTTAGCTGGCTTTTAACAGAATAACCATATAATCAATTGCTTTAGTTGTGTTCTGTGTAGTATACAGTCTATAGAAAGTTTACTTTTTAAGGGTGTAGCAACACATGCTATTTACAAAAGGTGAGTGAATAGTGGAGTTTAGTCTTGTTTGTTAACCTTTATATTCTTTGAATAAAGAGACTTTAATTAGTATAATAAAAGATGCAGTAGAACATGTTGAATGTTCAAAGCCTCGGTCTTGCAGCTAAATCCGCATGAGGAGGCTGTTTGGCTTGCCTGGAGCTCCACTGATGTGTTTCGTAAGAGCTTGGGTACAGTCAATGCAGATAAACGGTTGAACTAGGTTTGTTTATCTTCTGCATGACAGGTTCAAAGGTTCATAATTGTACAGTTGTGTTAATTATTGAATAACTAAAAAAACAACTTCTGAGTTGATGTGATGAGCAAGTGGATTTCATCTAAATATCTTCTGGGTGTGCTATGCAGTTATGTATATGAAGAGATTGTTACAAAACACAGCGCTTGGAAGCAACAGTAGGGACCAGGGAAGTAAGCTAGAATGGAGTGTTAAGGAGAGTAAATCCTATGATGCTGTTTAGTGTTAAATTCATAACTTGAAAAAAAAATTAACGTTTCTGTAACTTTCTTTTACTTGTGAATATTTATAATGGCTTTATGTGTACTTACCATTTTAGACTGAAGCCCACCCAATTCAGATTTCATACTGATGAATCTTTAGGATTCTAATTAGCATTCTAAGGTAGCATAAGAGACTTTACTTCTTGATACCTGCCTAAATAGAAATCATTTGAAGCTAACATCTTGGATACTGACTATAGTGTTTTAACTTCTTTTAACTATGCTACTTACACAACAGATTAAAATAGCTAATACGTTAACAGTAGTGGCATTATTCTTCCTTTCTAATAACCCCTGAGCTTCTAGCAAGCACTATTGATATGGAACGTTGCTTTAAAACTGAGGCGCATAATTTCATCTTTGGTGTGTGCAGATCCCCATGCTTTGAGAACTTCTGTCTCCTTTAAAAGTTATTGTGTTGGGATATTTAAAAAAAAAAACGAACACAAACAAACCACAAATAAAATTTGTATTCAGATCAGTTTCCTCAAATTGTTGATTATATTGTTAATAGATAATCTCATATCTAAGTAGTAGACAAACTGTCAGAATTCTCCTTATTTTAGCAACCGTATATATTTCTGCATGTTCAGAGCCTTCCAACCACCCTCGTTAATTCTTCAGTATCTGTGAATTTTCAAGCAGTTGGGAAAAGTAGATCTGTGTTACATCAAGATATAATTTTTAGTATGTGTTTTTCCTATTTATGGTTGTCCTACACCTTATTTTCCTTTGCTGCTAAGGACAACAGGGTATTCTTGTGCTGTTTAAGGTGAACCACAACAGTAAACCTAGGATAAAATTTGACAGTTCCACTGGTTAAGTAAAATGAGATAACTTTAAAACATTCCCTTAATAATAGCAAATGCTCTGTTGAGCTTTTATAACACATGCACACTTACTCTCTTTTGAGCAATAAAGTTGGCATCTTAATCACGTTGACATTACTATTACAAATGATATTTCATGATGATGATCCTTAGGATTCAGCGTATAGTGTGGCAAGTCTGTGGGGTCCTAAATTTTAAAGCCTGAAGTTATTGAATTAGAAAATAATTATGTAGATTAACATTTTCTAACTTCCTTTTGCCTTACCAGTCCTGGTCTGGTAAAGCTCTCATTGACTTGAGCAGAGCCAAAATTTTGTTCTTTGTCTCTAAATTGGGATAAACATACTGAAGTTGAATTACTTTTAATGGTGCTGTAGGGCCTGTTTTTCATTTGCTATTAAGGTTTCTTTCTGTTAAGCACATGTGAAACAAGGAAAATACTTACGAGTTTGCATATGCCAGTTTTTAAAATAAAACTATTGAATTTTAATTAAAAGATTAGATAAAACTAAACCTGCTTATATTCTGTGGCAAATGTTCTAAAGTTTTTCTTGGCTTTTTGTTTTGTAGTCTTTTCTTCCTTAAGCATATTTCTAACCAAGTGCATTTTGAACCTCTTCTAACAACCTTGATTTGGTTAACCCTCATTTTTCTTGTGTGGAGGAAAAAGAACCAAAGTTTTGGGGGTTTTCTAGTGGCTGAAATTCTAGGGTTTGGCCTGTTCTGAATTTTCCTTTTGGTTCCTATGACACTCCTGTTTTTTGGCGATCTAGATCTTGGTTTGCCTGGGTTTGATCTCGATTGGCTAGCACAGATCATCCTCGGGTTCTTTAGCCACTTCTGGAGACTGGAGACTATGTCCAGTGCTTTCAGGGCCTCTGGTACCTCCGTGAAGCATATTGCTATGAGCCATCACTCTGCCTTTCTCATGTAAGAGAGTTCCTCTTGGCCAGCTAGGTATTGGACAAGCAACTCTTTGCTTAAGGTACCTTCTTATATCATCTGCCACTTCTGGCATGTTGCGGTAAGTAGTCTGGGATTATAAAATACCAGATACTGTTTGGTAAAAGTACTGCTTTAACTTATACACATGTTTAGCTTTTTAGTGACCTTTTACATTATTTGTTTGTACTTTATGCTATTGCAGAGCAAGTAATTTTACAGTGTCTGCTTGTTTAGCCTCTATTAAGTTAAATACAAGGGTGTCTATTGACGTGGCACTGTAGTATGACAGATATTCAAGGGAAATACAAGAAAATTTTTTCCCTTTGTAAAAGTATTAATTACATAGTAATTACACCTTTTTGCTTTTAATTTTGCTGTGAAGTTGGGGGAGGAGAGCATATAGAATGAATTTGTCTACATATTTTGGATTGTCATTTAACTGGGGTGTTATTCATGAAAATTTGCATTTAATACTACGTTGCTTTTCATCTGTTATAGATCTGATTTCAGTGCATATGTTGGTATTTTAAGTATTGCATTGTGTTTTCATAACACCTGGTTTTGGGATGCAGTATTATTTTAAAAGCAGTATTTTGTTCACTGTAGTTGTAAAAATGAGGGATCCTTTCTATATGCAGCTGCTATTACATAAGCTGTTTCAGAAATTTTTTTCTAAATTATATGTATGTATTT